CCCTAAAGCTTACTGGTCAACCCAGGCCTTGTGCTTCGCCTCGTTTCAAGATTCAGGCCAGGTCAGAAGCCATCGATTTCGGAGTAAGCGGTGGCTAGGCCACAACGCTGTTTATCCCTAGTGCTCCAGTTACCTAAATACTGGGAACTGGGTTCTGTATACCCTATAGTTACATAGCCTAGTAACCTAGTATTTAGGTAACTGGGAGCCCTAGGTATGTTTTGGGGCGCAATCACTTCTTCAAGCGGATAGTTGAACAGATGTCAGATAGCGCAATAATAGGAATGCTTTGGGATTGCTGATTTGTCCGCAGTTTACTTGTCCGTAACTTTCCAGCTGCTTAGGGTATCCACAGCCCTCTTGCTAGTCCATCTAAGACAAGTAGCGCTCCGCAAGCCCCCGCGCCGATTTTATAAATTGTTGTTGGCAGGCGTTGCAACCATCTTCTTACCAATGTTATCTTATGTCAGCCTGCCATCAACATCTGTTCGCGGCCCCTCCGCACGCCAAAAGGGTATGTAGTTTGGCGCCAGCGTGTGGGCTGTCTGGTAGACGAATCAGGTTCCAACATTCCGGCTAATGATACAAGTTGTACGTAGCCAGGCAAGGAGAATTCATATTGATATACCTGCGAAGGCATACTACCCTAAACCCTAAACCCTACACCATCTCTCGCTTGGTGGGCAGTGACTACAGTAATCTCTATACAGTCCCCTACACTAATACCGAAAGTCTCTACCCCACTCGCCCTTCAGCGCGAGTAACTGGCCGAAGAAAAAAAAAAAACTAAGCGGTTACAATTCAGCTGCCCTAGCCATTGCAACGAAGAGGCATCGGGCGCTTATCTTGCCCATGCGGTATCTAGGCTGCTCTACCGTTTGCGTAGATGACATTGAAACAAGGTCTCCTATCATCAAACACTACGGCCTTAAACTCAAAATTTAAATCTAGGATCCAAACCTTACGACCCAACGCCTAAACCTTAACTCGAAAAACCTTAAACTATTAAGCCTAAACCTTGAACCTGGAGCCCTCGCGAGCCTCCTTGAGCTTTTGCAGACCAACATTGACACTCCTTTCCTGCACGTTGATCTCATCGTACTTTGTCGCCTGGGAGCTTTGCTTGATATGGGTTGCTGTTAAGGAACTTAATTTAAGTTACTATACCCCTATAATGGAGAATCAAATGGAAAAGAAAATGGAAAATGAAATGGAAACTGGGGGGAATATAGGGATTTAAGGAGCTTAATTTAAGTTACTGTATTGGGGAAACCCTATTATTTACTATATACACTATAGTCTACACTCCTTAATGGGGGTTATATAGAGGACTACTATAGGGGCTATTAAGGGGGATACTAGGAGTTTAGACAATGGCTAATGTGGGGGTCTCTGAAGGTTCAGGCCATGGGCGTCTAGTATGGGACCTTAGTCTTTATGACGTACACTAGAACCTAGAGTTAAGAGTAAACATCATGTTACATGTTGTTGCAGATGGCAGGTTCAAGTTTATAGGCCCTAGATCTTTGGATGCAAAGCAGGGCTGTAAGTTACGATTGCTGCTGTACAATCCAAGAGTACCTTTGCCGACTCCCGAAACTATTTACAAATTTACAGCACGACACAAAAGCGCTTGTGACTACACTAACAGCGACTTGCAACCTAACAAGAAACCCTTAACCCTACACCGCGTAATGGCCGGGAATGACATTTAGTCGGAGGCATCCTTTGATCTAAGCTGTCGAGCTTTGCACGAGGCAAACGCACATGAATTCCAAAGCCTGCTGAGGACACGACCTCGGCATCACTAGGTGGCCAAAATCACTTCTAAGCATGCAACACCTTCGCCAAATTTCACAGCCTCTTCACGGTTGAAGCCTTTTGAACCCTGAAGCCCTGTGCCCCAGCCGTAATTCCTAAACCCTGAACCCTCAGAGGCCCGGGCGTAGAGGATCTTGTAGAAGTCGATGAGGCACAGGAAGCTCTTTGGCGTGACGTAGACATTTTTGCGCATGCCTGGGTGACTCTCAGAACAGGACCCATGACTCATGCCCGTCTCATGCTTTAGGATTTCGGGCGTAGGTTTTTAGGCTTAGGGTTTCGTGTGTAGGGCAGCTCACAGAATCATCTCACCGAACTCGCTGTGAGAATGGAAAGAAGGATCCCAACACTCCCACAACAATCCCTAGCCGCTATATCCTTACCATCCATGACGTTATGTATGTGAGATATAATCGAAACTCCTAGTATCCCCCTGAATAACCCCTGTAATTACTCCCCTATATATAACCCCCATTTAAGGAGTATAGACTATAGCTCACATAATCTTCAGGACCTCACTCGTTTCAAAGCACTCGCACCTTAACCCAAATCTTCAATTTCTCATTGCACTCATACCCAACCCCAACCCTAAAGCCGCCACCTGCAGCCCGAAATCCTAAACCCTGTTTAGGGGTTGAGAGATTAGGGTTTAGGGTCCTCTTCTCTTTGGTTGGCGTCTTCTCTGCGAACTGACCCACTTTTTTGCATGGGCCGCATTTGGACACCAAATATATACAAGAACCAGAGTTCCGAAGGAACCCTTTGTGCACTCACCTAAATGAAGCATGAAACCCTACCTCAACCCAGGGCAAGGTGCGCGTGTAGTAGACGTCGCAGAGGTCTCGCGTCAGCGCCTAGCACTGCCAATATGTTGCACATGAGCTTGAACATGGATGTGGGGTTTTTCAAAAATTGGAAGCCCTTAGAGGCCCCTGCGAGAAATCTGTAGAGATAATGTTGAGAAACTCCCATGTCGAAACCCTAATTAATTTCAAGACCTCTGACGGGCCAAGTTGCCATCACGGTTCAAAACCACAGCCTGGAGGACTGTCTTTCCCTAAACAGGGAGTCCCAAAAGAGAGCGGCCGGCCTTTTTCCCTAAAGCCCTACACCAACTGTCCTCAGGGGCTTAGAGAAGGGGAATAGGGCTTTGTGATGCATTCTAGTCTAGTTGGATAAGGGCTGTAAAGGAAGTAAGATTTTAAATGCTTCAGCTTCTACAGTGCCTCCTTTCAGAGGACTCGCAACCCGCACCGATCTGCTCTTGATATGCGCTTCACAAACATCAAAAGATGAGGTTAACATGCTTAATTCTGACTCCGCAGCAGGTCTAACAATGATAGCATCCATCTAGCAACTGCCGACCCTAGATGGGCGACTAATGTTACGAAACGAACTGAACTCGCTTGGAGGCGTGGTATATGGAGCGTTCGTAGGGAAAGCTTCAAAAATCAATCGAGACCATTCCAACTGCGTCTAAGAAAGTTCTCAACATGTCAAGACATATGGTTCAGAAATGCTCAACATCTGCCTGGAACGAGCCCGTCAAGGCGAAGAGACGTCCTGCAAAGGTTGAGCATCCTCACTATCCCTAAATCCTAAGCCCCTGAACCTAAACCCTTCAATATCAGCCCTACTTGGAGTGGCACAGGGACTTGGTAAGCAGGCTGAGGATTTATTCTGGGGCGTATAGGCCTTCTTGACCTACTTCCTAAGTCCCCCCTAACACCCCCAAGTAACCCTGAAAACCCTAAATATCCAATATGTGAGCTGGGACCTCCTAGTATCCCCCTTAATAACCCCTATAGTAGCCCCCTGTACAATCACTTATGTAACCTGAACTCTAACCCCAAATCCATAAACCCTAAACCCTAAAATCCTAAACCCTAAACCCTGAATAGAAAGCCCGCCTTGAATTACTGTGGACTATAGCTCCTATGGGCTCTCTATTCAGTAGATCTTTTGGAGATGACTGAAATGAGGATTTCTGCCCCGAACTCTGCAACTGTGAAGATGCAGTCCGCTGCTACAGCATCCACTGCCATATGAGGGTCCCATTTTGGTACCCCTAAATTTTGAGTGCCGTAATATAAAGTAACCAAAAAAAGCCACAATTTTAAGAACAACCTATGTGAGCTATCGGCTAGAAGTCTGCGCCCCTAACGTGGGCCCTTAAGCTGTCTAGGGGGATCCCAGGGACCCTGCAGGGCACGTACAAGGTATATAGCAGGTGTAAAAGGGCCCATGCTAGGGGCCCATGGTTTTAAGCCTATATATGTAGCTAGTGGATATGTCTGCAGATATGGAATGCATTCGGGACTACACTAAACCATTAAAGGGACCCTGTGTCCAGTCCACTCTTGACGGTCCATTGGTAAGCCTAGTATTAATGACAACTTTTCATACCAACAACCAACGAAATTCACCAGCGCCACGGGACCCGTAATGTATACTGTTGGAAGGGAACCCAAACAACACATAAGGTATTGATCTTCCTTGTGGGGCTTGTTGCATGTGGATGGGACAAACTTTGCTTGCAAAATGGCACACGGTTTAGAATTTAGGGCCATGAGGAAGCCCTTCTTTTTTACGTTATACCCATCATATGCTAACCTAAATCCCAAACCCTAAGGCCCTAAGCCCTGCGCATTTAGGGCTTCTCGTTTAAGCAACTTCGAAATCTGAAATGTTGATCAGTTTGATTTCTGCAGCTCGGCCTCTGGGGTCATGGGCCCGCTTACCACCCCTAGCCCAACACTACCCCCCGACGTTCCCTAAACCCTAAACTACCCTAAAGCCGAAACTCTAAACCCTAAACCCTTCATTTAAATCATCAAGGTGGGTGGATATAAGAAACCTAACCTAGAGCTCTAGACGCTAGACTCTAAACCCGTAACCCCAAGCACTAAACCCTAAAATCATATGGCACGTAATGTGGATATCTAAGGTAGCTATCTGGCTTATAGGAGCTATGAACCTACGTATCATTGTAAGTCCCCTGCTCCTTCAAGTAGGTTCACAGTCCCCCTCTTCAAGTAGATAGAATATGAAATTGCCCAATACCGGAATAAGATCCCCATATACCCCATCATATCTCTTAAGAGCCTTAAGGGGGACTGTAAAGTCTAAACCCTACACCCTAAACCCCAAACCCAATATCATAAAATCCCCATATACCCCGTATTCTATCCTAAGCCATAAGCCCTAAACCCTATCAAGGGGGCTATGAATTAAGAGATTGAAGCTCCGAAGTCCTTTGTCGGACTCGCTGCAGTCCAACCTCCGAGGTTTGGGTGTGCATAGAAATTGGTGTTGGTTGTTTGTTTGGTTTAGGGTTTAGGGCTCATGCCCGGAGAGTTGAGCGATTTTGGGGCGACGTCTGACGGATTTGTTCTTTTCCTGTTGGTGGATGTTGGTGGCCTATACAACTTCTATGCATTGGCAGGTTGAGGGTTTAGGGCTTAAGGTTTGGGAACTAAGGTCTTGAGCCCTGAGCCTTAGCATTCCCACCCCAACCACTAAAATGGTCGCCTACAAAGGAAGCGGTGCGTATGTTAGCAGGCTACGGTAAGGTCAGGGATCGAGGGCCTTCGTGGTCGGATACCAGGTGGGCACCCTTAAAAGACGCCTATACACACCTCACTTCGTCATTTTACGCTTACACGAGGCGGCTTGTATGAGCCTTGCATGTGGCTACCCGCTTGGTAGCTACCCGCCTAGAGCTGTTCTTGATGTGAGGGTTCAGGGGTACATTATACAAGAGTTATTAATGACAATACTGGTAGTTATTAAGGCTTACACTGCCATAGTATCAACTACTAGTGTTCTGCTGCAGAGTAGGTGTAAGAGGCAACAAGATATAATCTGGTCATACAAGTCTTCCCTTCACTAGATGGGAGTTTCCCAGAATGCGGGGACCCCGATGTAGACCCCGAAACACTATAATCCTTATTATGGGGACCACCAAAATGGTACGCCTAATTTTGGGAAACTCGCAAATCAGGATAAGATCGGAGACGGTCTCTTCAGGCTCTATTGGCAGCATGGGTTGAGGGCGTGTGGCGGGATGCGGTGCGTTTAGGTTTGGAGCAACATCACAAAGTGTGGGTTGAGACCTGCCCCCACCCATTAACAGCCTATAAGAGCAGGCCATACGAAGGGCTCTATATGTTTTTGTCATAAGTGGCTTAGGGTTAAGGGTTTAGGGGTATTATCCAACTGTTACTGAATGGGCGCAGTACCCAAGGTGTAGTGTGTCGGAGTTTGGGGCTTAGGTCAAAGGTCCGACACACCAAGTCCAACTCCCAAAACCTCAACGTCTAAACCCTAAACCGATAAACCCTACTGTAAGCCCTAAACCCGAAAACAGCTCAAAACCCCAAAACCCTAAGCCCCTACTTGGAGGGTCACGGGACTTAGTGAATAGCTGAATAATAGGGATAACTGGGGCTACTGTATGGGTTATAGGGGTTCTTAACCTACTTACTAAGTCCCCCTGACCCTCCAAGTTATCCCCACCCTCCAGCCACCTGTAGGAGCTCAAGAAAGCACTGCTCACTGCCACCAGCGCCGCCTCCGGCCATGGCATGAACCTGAGAGGTCGGTTAAGGTCCTAACAAAGGGCCACTCATGGATTAGGTTTCAGGATTCAGGGTTTAGGGTTTAGGACTTACCTAGACCCCCCGAGTACGCTAAATAGGGTCTATCTAGGTTCTATTTTGAGATACTTTTGGTCTATAGAGGGTACTTGGGGGGCCTAGGTAGGGTTTTAGGGTTTAAGGTTTAGGGGTCGGAATTTAGTGTAGAGCCGCGGGAATGGTTTTATGGGGGGGACCATACGCGATCATGAACGAGGGAGCCTTCTTCAAACACCTCCGGAATGACATTCTACGTTAGTCAGGGTCTCCCCTTTTTCTTGGAATACTACAAACAATTGCGATGTGTATTCCTTCTGGGTTTAGTATGATATATATATATATACATGTATTTATGTATCCTAAACCCTTGACCCTAAACCTCAGCCGTGTTCCACAATGACCCTGAACCCTAAACCCTACGTAAACCCTACCAAGCTAAGAGGCCAGTTGATGTTCACCGTGAAGACTGCCGGGAACTTCTGTGCTCGGATCGGGAATTTGGCATTCACCTGCCAGATCAGAAGTTAAGGGTCTATACTATTAACTATTACTATCACTGTTACTACTATTATTTTAATATTGTTGCTATTTATTGATAGTAGTTACTTGCTATGAAATACTATTACTAACCAGTTAGTACTATGAGATTACCAACTACTACTGGGTCTAGGGTTTAGCGCTAAGGGTTGAGCGTTTAGGGCTTAGGGTCTAGGGTTTATAGGCTTTAGGGTTTCAGCGCACAGCCCCTAAGCCCTAAGCCCTGAAGCCCAAACCTAAACCCTAAGCCCCTATACGCTAAAGCCAGAAGCCTAACACACCCTATAAGCCCCTAAGACTCCCCGGGCTGCACAAACCCTGAACCTTCGGTGGCTGACTCCATTTGCGAGCTACACTTGGTTTGATGGACGTCCTCCTCCACCCTAGACGGTTCTTCTGGTCAGACCTTAAGCTACACGGGTTTAGGGTTTGGGGTTTAGGGTTAAGTTTGCGGTTTGGGGTTCCGGTTTAGGGGGTAGGGTTCCCTCAAAACCTGAAAGTCCAAACCCTAGACTCTAGGCCCCCAAACCTACAGAAACCTGCTAGTTTCTAAGAGGGGATTCGTGGAGTGAATTTTGGTACCAGAATACACAAGTATGAAGGGATACACTTACACTCCTCACTCTCCCTCAAGCATCAGTCAGAGGACCTCAGAAATTCCCACAATGATGACCTACCCGTTCTTTGGGGGGCTGCAGGCCACTTTAATTGGAAGGTCTAGGTGGACCGCACCCTAAACCCTAAACCCCTAAACCCCAAGCCCCAAACCTGAACACCAGATCCTAGGCCTTGGTTTAGGGTTCAGGGTTTAGAGGTTTAGGCTTGAAGGACGCCAAACTCGAAAATCCCTAAACCCTAAATGTCCCTAAACCCCACTGGACCTCAAACTATCTGAAAGTTCATGAGAACTAGTAACTGCGTAACACTGGCCTTATAGACCTACTGAAAAGGGATTCTGCGTGCGGTTATTGTCCCAGCCCAAGTAGCTTCTCAGTCCCAAGTAATCCATATCCTTCAACCCTCAACCCCAAAATCTCCCTAAACCCTATACATCCCTAAGCCCTACACTCTTAACCCTAAACCCGCAAACCTACGCTGAGAGTGGCGCCGGCGAGAAGCAGAGGCAGACGTGGAGGTTGTCCCTGAGTCGGTCCATCAGGTAGTTGTACATGTTGAGCAGATTTTCCTGCAGGATATAGATATAGTCCGAGATATAGTCCCCCTTAAGTAGATAGAATATGGGGTATATGGGGATCTTATTATAATATACCCAAAACCATATTCTATCTACTTAAGGGGGACTATAAGGTTTAGGCTTGAGGGCTTAGAGTGGAAGTTGACATGTTGAGCAGATTTTCCGTCAGGATGTAGATAATTTTTGTTGGAGGGTCAAAGGATATCAGGACATCGAGCCCAATAATGGAGAATCAACTGGCAAGAAATGATACATGAAAAAGGAAGCTGGGTCTATGTTTGGTGTATATGAGTATAACATACTTGGAAGGGCTGCGGGACTTAGTAAGGAGGTTAATAATTGGCATAGCTGGGGGTATCGTACTGGTTAGAAGGGTTACTGATCTACCTACTCTATTCCTCTGACCCTCCGAGTGTGAGTTAGGGTCTAGGGTGAAAGTGTACATGTTGAGCGGATGTTCTTTCGGTGGTTGAACCTCCCCGTGAAGGGGAGATGTAGAGCTTGTATCATCGAGGTATATGAACCCTCAACTCTCAACTCTACACCCTAAACAGGTATATTATGAAGATACATAGGGTGCAGGATGCTGTACCTGCAGTTTAAAGTTTCTGCTGGGTTCAGGAGCTTTGAGGTTGGACGCGTAAGTTGAACTCTAGGGTTTTGGGTTTTAGGTTTTGGGTTTAGGGTTTGGGGTTTGGGGTTTAGGGGTTTGGGGTTTTGGCTGTTGGGAAACTCTTTACATGTCCATAGTACTTACATATGGGTTACATGTGGGCTGTAAAGTAGTATCCTTGTTGAACACACTCTCCTGCCGGAGCAGAAAACTTCTTACCCTAAACCCTAAGCAGCAGAGTATGGCAGCTGGGGATTAGGTTTGAAGGTTCAGGGCTTACATGTGAAGGTTTTACGGTTTAGGGCTAAATTTTGACTTCACGTTAGGGACTCGACCCGCGTTTAAAAAATCCCGCCACCGGAAAACAATTCAAACAAAATCCACAATGATCAATATACAAATAGATGTCTTAGGGATGCTGCTTTAAGTGGATTAGGATTGATTCCATATAGATGTTCCAACCTACATGTCGTGCTTTATTTTTCCGGGGGGTCCCCCGAAATGCAGATAGATCAATCGAGGCAGCGGGGGGTTCACAATGCGACGCCAAAATCAGATGTTGTTCCCTAACCCTAAACCCTACTGTTGTGGGTAGGAAATTAGCACCGCTCGGGTCCCCAAAGTACTAGCACCGCAGTTCGTAGGAGTTGAAAGGGTTTTAGGGGGGGGGGCGAAGGTTAGGACCTTTCACTAACTAGCACGACTTGAGGCTTGGGATTAAACCTGAACCGCGAAATTACCCTGAACCCTAAACCCTACATCCATTCATCCCTAGCTCTCAACTCCCCAAATCTCTGATATCTTAACTCTGTAACCAAAAACTTGTCCTACCGGAACCTGAACCTCCCTATATCTTGAATCTTCTTACTTGCGGTCATACTCCTGGCTCTGCGGTCCTCCATGTTCGGATTCTCCTTGACGAAGTCGTTTCGCACGTCACCGCACATGGCATCCTGTGTTTAGGGTTTAAGGTGTTTTTGTTATTCTTATTACTATTATTGCTACTATTATTCTTCTTCTTGTATTGTAAAAGTATTAATATGATCATTGTTACCAGTATTATTGGTAAGCATTATTATTATCATTGCTATTTTGTATTTGTGTTATCTATTTTTAGTATTTGCCCCTACTTAAAGGGATATAGGAATAATGGAAAATGGAAACTACTATTTAGGGTTTAGGGTATACTGGTTGACAGGGTTTTGTGGAAGGGGCAGAGCGGTTAACGACCAATCTCTTCATGTTGAGGGGGGCCTGCTTACAGAACAACAGATTCGGTATACGCCGACCTAAAGATGGATGGCCAAAGCTCGATACTATCTTGTGCCTCCAGTTGGCCTTCGACTTATCTGAAAACTTGAGGTACGTAAGATCCCTTTGCACCAATGAAGAAAGACGTCTGAAGATCCTGAAGGCCAATCTTAACAATTCAATGGGGGCTCATCAAAATAGCATCTGGGGTTCAACTGTCAGGGATTTTGGAGGGACGATTTGAATCTTATGGTTCGGAGGGGGCAAGAGGCAAGGCGCCCCTCGTACACTGCAGTACTCCCTAAAACCCTAAACCCTATAAACTCTAAAACCCAACACCCTAGTCCCTGAGCATCCCAAGATCCCATACCTACCCAGCCCTCTGGTTTAGGGTTTAGGGGTTGAGGCTTTCGACCTCTCTTGAGGACCCATAAGTAATCATCCCAAATTAACCCTATAAACTTATTAAAGCCTCCCTGCGAACCCCATAATATGTGCTACATAGTCTAAACTTTTGGTATCCCCCTTAATAGGCCCTATGATACTCATAATACTCCCATATCTACTCCCCTAGCCAACCCCGTTTAAGGAGTTTAGACGCTAAGCCCTAAACCCTATATAACTCCCTTTAATAGTTTAGGCTATTGCTCAATAATAAGAGTTCCTGTACAAACATCTGTTGCAGCCCCGGTGCCTTCTCATCCTTGGCGAACAGGCCGACAACCTCTCCTGCATGAGACCAGACTTAGGGTTTGGGGTTTGGGGTTTAGGGTCCGGGGTAGCCAACAGACGTTGGCGGTTTGCAATTGAAGGTTTAAGTTCGAATGGTTTAAGGCAAAATGTGAAACCATTATTGGCTTCTTTTGTATTCTGGCAGAAAATTTAAGTTACAGTACTGTTGGTGGATGAGATATGACTTGCTACAAATCTGTTCTCTCAGCGACGCCACTGGCCACGGTTGAGAAGGCAGAAAGAGGCCCAATCATAGCGTCATATTCAAGAATTCTCATGAGGCAAGCACATTACTTACCATATATCTGTATCATCTTTTTGAGCTGCTGAATGTCAACCCCGAAAAGGTGAGCGAAGGATGCTGCGCTACACCCAAAGTTGCATGTGGAGACAACCTCACTCCACTTGGGACCCCTATCATGCCGTATTTCCAGAGATGTAGCGTGTATATGGCGGTGTTAGGTTTCGATTTCCTCCATCCACAATGTTGTAGCTGCAGCGCCTCTTTCACTTTAGAAGACAAGGCCCGCAAATTTGAAGCATCCCCTCATCACTTTTTTTCTGCAAGCCCTCTTCTCGCTCTTCGCTCATGGCATTTCGCTTCAATGGTTCCAGCCATGAAATCTGAGCCATGCATATGCACGCCCCGAGTAGGTAGATTGCGAAACAAATAAGTGCCATTAGAGTAAGTACGTTATAAGATGCTTTTTTTTACTGGAGTGCTTTCCTGGACTACTCCCTCCCAAAACCCAAGAAAAACAGCCATTCTAGCAGGAACGACTGAAGGAACCGAGACGAGACAGTCTGCCGTAACTTATGTCTTACTACGCATCTCGTTTAGGTTTTGAAGTATAAGGCTCTGGGTTCAGCGTGGATCCGCGACCCTCCTGCCCCCAAGTCTCCCTGTCGCTCTCACCTAGCCATGCACCCACAATGGCAGCATGTTTCGAAAAGCCCCGCCTGTTGCCAGCAGTGAGTTCCTTTCATGCAAGGAGGCACTTGGCACTTTAGCAAGTCCCGGAAATGGAACTTCAAAGGTGAACTCGGTTTTGATGACGGTGGAAAGTTGGCGGTATCAGATACTGTTTTGACAGATGAGCATAGATTCTAGCCGCTTCTGCAGTTGGGTAGGCTGGACTCGTTCTTGCGGGTGCTCACGTCCCAGAACTCAATGAATGAAGAACCAAAGAGAAAGGGGATGTATCTGTACAATTAATGGTGCGTCCAGAAGGTTGTAGTAAGGGTCCATGGGTTGCGAGGTTGCAGTAAGGGCGTTAGGGAGTTTGGCTTCTTTAAATCCAAAATCTTTTGGGGTTGTGGTTAGGGTTTAACATTTGGGGGTTGCACTAAGGGTGTGGCGAGTAGGGGGCTTAGGGCCTGGTGTTTCTGGTTGGGAGCTTGATTAAAGGTTGCTAGGGGTAAGGCAGCGGTTTATGGTTTTGGGTTAGTCCGTTAGCTCCGTGGTGCTTGGTGTTGGAGTGCATTTGAACGACAAGGGTTCAGGGTTTATAGGATTTAGGGTTTAAGGTTTAGGTTTAATGTTTAGGGTTTAGGGTTTATGGTTTAGGGTTTAAGGACTATGGCTTACGGTTCAGGGTTTAAGGTTTAGGGTTTAGGATCTATACTCCTAGTATCCCCCTCAATAGCCCCCAGAATACTCCCCCATATAATCCCCTGCAGAACCCTCTTTAAGGAGTTTAGACTATAGCTCATTTGGTTTCATTCCCATGGTACTTTTAGGGTCGACTCAGGAAGTAGGGCAGCAATGGTGATGAAGGGTATTACACGAACCGCAAACCTTACACCCTAAACCCTCAACCGCTTGTAGTAGTATAGTATACTGTGTAGGTACTCATTCTCTGCGACCTTCCAAGTAGAGCAGGCGCTTCCTCGCAGAAGGAATGGGCCATTGGCATGGCATGAGGTAGTAGGGTTTAGGGTTCAGGGATATGGGGTTAGGGTTTAGGGTTTAATTGGTTCCCCAAACTTGAATGCATCTGGAGGCCTTATGGGTGAAGGGAAGTTCTTGTAGGATCCTAAAAACATGGTTGTTAGAAGGGAAGATCTTCCCATATTCCAGTAAGTCTAGCTTTACTAATGTTGAAGCCCTACACCATAAACCCTAGACCCTAAAGCCTAAGCCCTAAACCCTAAACGCTCAACAGGTTCTAGTTTTGGTCTAAGCCTCAGTCCTCTTTTGCTGGCTACCTCTTATGTCAGTGAGGTGTAGTCTAAGGGACTGTTATAGGGCTTCTTACGGGTTCAGGGTTTAGGGTTTAAGGGGGATGCATGGAGTTTGGACTATAGGTAGTAGAAGCCTGAATGACTAGGGCTACTCTCCTTCAGAAGTCTCAAATCCTATGGCACGGGTAAAAGGTGTGCACGACGTGCACCACGTGCACAAACCCTGCACACGAAACCCTAACCACAACCTACACTCTGAACTGATGTGCTGTTGAGGGACTTGAGTTAAGTTACCATGGTTGGGAAATAATACTTGTTATACAGAAAAGCACTTGTTTATTCATTGACAACCATTTCATGGTAGCTTAAACCTGGCCCTTTCAGCGGGACAGCCAGGCGGCATGTACTCCAGGAAGCCCTGGTCAGAAGGTTGGGGTTTTGAGGTTTTAGGGTTTAGTTACGAAGTTTAGTTTCGGAAAGTTCTGGTTTTGAGGGGTCTGAAAATGTCTCCAAAACTGTTGCGATGCGGGAATTGGGGCTTCGGAGACCCCCTGACCCTAAACCCTAAACCCTCATGATCATGGAAAGCTATTCGCCTAAACCCTAAACCCTGAACCCTAGCCTCTGCAACTTCGAAGATATACCTAAACACCAAAAATATGTAAAATAATGGCCCTAAACCATTAAAAGCAGCCCAAAAGGCCATAATTCTACATACTTTAGGGGTCCAGGTAGGACTTTTAGCCTTGGGAAGGTTCGCGGATGTCAGACTGGAGAGTTGCAGGGTTTGGGGTTTAGGTTTAGGGCTTAACCCCAAAAGTATGTAGAATGATGGCCTTATAGGCTATATTTAGGGGTTTTGGGCTATTATTTTACCTACTTCTGGGGTCCAGGTAGGGCTTAAGGTTCAGGATTTTTTGGGATTTAAGGGTTTAAGGTGTGGGAGTTGGGGATTTAGGAATTGGGGTTTTAGGGTTTAGGGGGTCTTTGGTTGGAATCTGGAGGGCCTCAAAGAGCTCTTCAATGGAAACCCAATAGAGTTGTAGTTTGCAATTCTCCCAATCAGAAACTAAGATCTCCCGTAACATAGGACTCAAAGAATCCCCTTTTTTTATGAGCAACCTAGGATCCAGCAAAAAGGATAAAGGGGCTCACGGGGGAACCAGAAAACCAGTCAAGAAGCCTGAACTTGGAGGGTCAGTGGGACTTAGTAAGTTGGTTAAAAATGGGGATAATTAGGGTTACTATATGGGCTATAGGGATTATTAACCTACTTACTTAGACCCCTTGACTCTCCAAGAATTCTGTCTCTGGGTGGCCTTGTGGCTGAGCCCTAAAAGAGCAGATGCGTCCATGTAACCCTAAACCCTAAATCCTGAACCCTAAACCCCTACACCCTAAACCGCGTACACAGGGAAGTTGGGGACTACGAGTTTTTTCAATTTGGATCCTTGCGTGCACCGGGTCCTTAACCCCCAAGCTGCGCATCCCCCTCCCCCACAACTAAGGGGGATCAGGAGGAATTGCAACCCAAGCATTTAATATTAGGGTTCCTGAACAACCCTCCCTATCTTCATAAATGCCCAGTTTTGTCACATTCCTCTAGCGACGGAAATTCCTATGAACCCCATTTGACATTGCATGGAGGGTCCCTAAAACCCTAAATCTTGCCAAATCAGCAAGGCTTTAAAGTGAAAAGGCAGAAGGTTTTATCCTCAAATAATTAAAGCAGACCCCCTACTAAGGACTCTGTGTGAGCTATAGTCTAAACTCTTAAGTCCTAGCATCCCCCTCAATAACCCTTCTAAGATTCCCTTATAGACTTCCCCTAAATAACCCCCTCGAAGGAGTTTAGACTACAGCCCATGCAAGGGAACCCAGAGGCTCTTTGAGCTTGTGGTTTCCTAAACCCTACACCCGAAGCCCTATAGTCCCCCTTAAGTAGATAGAATCTGGGGTATATGGGGATCTTAGTATAATGTACCCAAAGCCACATTCTATCTACTTAGGGGGGACTATCAGACCTAAACCCTAAACCCTAAAGAGTAGCTTCCATTGTCTTTTCCATTATCCCTATATAACCCCAATATAACCCTAATAATCTATCTACTTAGGGACTATAAGACCTAAACCCTAAACCCTAAACCCGTGAAAACAAGAAGCTCCAAACACCGCACCTCGCTCTTGATCTCTGCATCCGTGAAGATGAAGGTCACACTCTCTCCTACATCTGTGTAGGATGTAGGGTTTAGGATCTCCTGGTGAAGGACGGAATATAGGGACTAGTATAGGGGGATTATATGTGTGTTTGTGTATGTATATATATATGTATACATATAGATGATTATGAGCTCTCCTACGTTGTTGAGAGCCCAAGTACCCCAATAGCAGGGTTCTAGGTCCCATGAGAGTATCGTAATGTGGGACCAAAGCCTAAACCCTGAACCCTGAAGCCCTGTCAGTTGGGTTGTTGGGCCCCAAGGGTAGAGCAGTGAAGACGGCACATTAGGGTTGAGGATTTGGGGCTGATAGGGTTTGGGGTCAGGGTGTAGGGTTTTCCTTATTGATGCTTACTACGGAAGAAGGGAATATATTGTACTTGGGTCTTTAGGGATTATATTCCCTTATTCACTACTAACCCACCAGTAAGCTTAGCGTTGGGTTCTCAGCCCGCAGCTCTAGCTTTTTCCAACATCGTAGCCACCCGAAACTGGCAAAGTTTGATTAGTCATCAACTGTTTTTAAACCGTTGTATCTACCCCTAAACCCTAAACTCCGAAACCCTAAACTCCCAAACGCTAAACTCCTCAACCCCAAACTAAACCCCAAACTCCTCAACACTAGACTCCTAAACACTGAGCCCCTAAACCGTGATAGGACATCTGCACCCAAGGCTCCCTTGACTCCAGCGCGGATGCATAGTGCTTTCAGGTCTTCAAAGAGGGCATTGTCGTTGTAGGTCTTGGTGATGGTGATCCTCAGCGTTTAAGGGCTTAAGGATTAAAGTGCACATTTGCACTAAACCCTAAACCCTAAACACCTAAACCCTAAACACCTAATCACGGTTTAGGGTTGGGGGCTTTGGGTTGGGGCTTTTGTTCTGCTGGCCCTGCTTTATGAGGGCCTTTCAATCATTTGGATTTTTTGCAGTCATAACCGCAGCCTGGACACCCAAAGTAAGGGTTTAGGGTTTAGGGTGTGGCCCAAAACCCTGAAACAAGGTTAAAGCAATGCAATCACTTACCAAGTCTTGGGGTCCAGGTCCCTTTGCAATTAGACCCTGTAAACCCCAAACCCTCCGGAGCCTTTGTATGATCCTATACGTCTCCGCCTGCCTGGTGGCGCTTCCGTGCTTTCAAATAATATACAGCCAATATATTTCTCGTGTCACTAATGGACCTGGCAGTTTTTTTCGGGATTTTGGTTGAAGTCCGTTGTAAATTGGCACGAGGAATGAAAACGATGCGCACGTCTGGTATTGTCATGGTATTAGGAATTGGGGGGGGGGGGGATTCTCAGAATTAGCCCTGTACCATCCTTCATTGTGACCCCCAGAAACATCGCTTGGTGAGCTGTGTACGTATGTGTATGTATCTGTATATGTATATCCCTGACATATTTTGGGGTACTCGTGATTCGTTGAACCCGCATGCTCTCAGTACCTCGAAGGATGTCATGTGCCGAGGTACTGGAAGGCAAAGTGTGCCGACGTGAAGGCAGCAAGCCTGGATTCAAGGTGTGGCATGGGGTTAAGGCTTAGAGTTCGGGGCTTGGGCTTAGGCGTTTGGGTTCAGGGCCTATGGTTTGGGAAATGCACATTACGGTAAACCTCGGCACAAAGGGAACGCTCCAAACAGGTTGTGCTTCGAGACCCCAGGGATATGTGGGATTCTAGCGCATGAACGTTCCGTCGTTAGGACGTTACAAGGCTACTTAAGGGCCCATGAGGCTGAGTAAGAAAGTGGTTCTAAGTGAGGCCAGAAGCAGACCAAAACCCAATAAGGAATCTATAGAGCCTCATCATTAAGAATTTACCTGAAAATCTACTAAGTCCCCTGGGCCTTGAAGTATGTGCCGAGAAGTCCCCTTTGCTGAAATGTAGTTGATTCTCGAGGGGAAGGCCTTCCATAAACCCTGGACTGTGAACTGTAGAGACTTACATACCTGGACCCCAAAGGTATGTAAAATGATGGCCTTTATGTCTATTATTATGGGTTTAGGGCTATTATTTTACATACCTTTGGGGTTAAGGAAATTCCTAACTCAATACTACAGTTAACATTGTCGTCCTAGGTTCCGTGTACCAGTATGGCATAGGGTACCTCAAATAGACCTCAACATGACTTTGACAATCATGTCAGACCACTGCCTTACATAATCCAGGTTTTGTTAGATTTTCCCGGTTCTTTTCCACTTGATTCTCCGCTATTGGCATTTATTTAGCCCCTCCACTCTATATCCCTAAACCCTGTATATCCCTGTACTTGATTCTTGGTAATTATTTAGGCTCCAGCCCTAAACTTACGCTAAACGTAACCAAACCCTAAACCCTAGATCCTAAACATCAATCCTAATCCCGAAACCTAAACCCTAAACTCTGAACCGAAAGCGCGAACAGCCTGGCCAAGCTCTGCTTTCCACTGCCGCCGACGCCCACAAGCATGGCACTGCCACGCTTTTGCTGGATAGTGCCTTGCTGTATGTTTGTAGGTAAAGTCTTTTTGAGTTAAGGGATGGTTCCTTTTTAGCACCCCTTTGCACCTTGGGGTTTACCTAGACCCTCCAATGTAGTTCCTTTTTGGGTTTGGTCTGGTTTTTTGGTTAGGACTCTTATTAGGACTACCAGAAAGGTACTACATTGGAGGGTCTAGGTAGGGCTTAGGGTACAGGGATTCAGAGTTTGGGGCTTAGGGTTTAGGCGAGGTCTCGTCTATGCCACGCAAAACCAGAAACGCGCATGCTGGTAACTTGGTACTTTCCGAAAATAGGGGGAACCTGATATAGACCCCAACATACCAGGCTCCTTATTATCGGCACGCCCAAAATGGTACCCTAAATTTTTGGAATCCCCCATTTGTGTATGGGGCATTCTGGCTTCGTCCAGTAACCTCCAAAGGCCCTGGCTAGGGATCTGGGATTTCGCAGCGATGTAGCTCTGTCAAAGCTATGGTCTAAATTTGCTAGGGCCCTCGGCCCCTTCACTACTACATTATTTGGGCAATTCCGCGGCGTGCTTGCGTTAGTTCATATTCAAGTCCTTGGACTGCGACTGGCTTTTGGCTCCTCGAGTTTGGGTCCCCGAGTTTCTTGGAGTGTGTCCCGGCCTGCAGGGTTGTTACTGGCGGTGCCGCCGTATGTCGCAGACTGGTGTCTGAAGGAAATCATACACCGCAATAGGACGCCGAACAGCATGACTATTTTGTAGCTGGGGTCAAGAGGAGTTTCTCAAAATTAGCGACATTGCGGGCACTTGGGATCTACAGAGATTGCCGGTGAGGATCATACTGGGATTGATTCGAGAAACTCACTCCCATCATTTCTCGGGTTCTCCGAACGACTGCAGGCTGTTTACGTAGTTGATACACAGAAAGCACATCATGGATGCTCCTACTGTGGATACGTACCAAACGTTTTACGTGACCCTAAAAAAGGTAGTACCTAGCGGCTATAGTAGACGAATGGCATGCAGGTTATTCTGTATAAGCCCTAGAGGCAAGATGGCTGCAGCAAAGCCGCCTCTGTCAAACATTGCTTCTGCGGGAGCCATATCCAAGCTATGGACGGGGGTTGGGTTTGGAGGTTTACGCTGCGCAGGACTCTGAAAAGTGAATTCAACAGGCTAGTCTAACTCTCTTGTCTCTTGGGCGAATCTACGAAGCGACCGAGCTGCGGTTGATCTTCATCAAGTGCTGCATCGCTTCGTCGAAGAGCACCAGCTGCATTGCCTGCTCCATTGCCACCGAGTTCAGTATTTGCAACACCTGAAATAAGGCTATTGGGTACTGTTTTCCATATGAGCTAGCATTTACACAGGTTTCGGGTGAGATCGAAGGGGACTTTCACCTTAAGCCCTAGACTGCTTCAAGCCCAAAAACTTTGCTGGCTCGAAAGATGTTGGGAAACTCTCGTAAGAAGATGGGTAGTCGGCCTGGTACCGTAGGGGCACAAAGCATTTGAATAGTTCTCTGGGAAATGACAACTCCATGCATGTTGAGGGAATTTCATTGGTAATGTCTCAGGCTTCTACAACATGTAAGCCAGCATTGGGGATCATTTGCTTGCCACAATAACCTTAAATCTCTAACCGTGCAGCGTATGCATTTCTCAAACCCTGGGGCCCGGCAAAAGGCCCTAAATGCACTAAACCCTAAAACCCTAAACCTTGAACCCTAAAACCCTAAACCTTGAACCCTAAACCCCAAACCTAAACCTTGAACCCTAAACCGCGTCAAAGAGGAACCCTGGTAACCTATGAGTCAACAGGGCACCCTTTTAAAGTATAACCAAGTGCAAGAAAACTTATCACCTAACAAAGGCAAAAAAGAGGCTTACGGGTGACCCAGAGAAGAAGCCCTTGATCAATCTTAAGCAGCCTCACAATCCTGAATCACGCCTAGCTTGCTTGAAGATGCTCATCTGAAAGCCATGGGTTCCCCTGTACAACCCTCCTGCACTACCTGTAGGGCTTAGTGTTTAGGGTCCCACCCCACCCCCGCCCTACAAGTGCCCTTTACCCATCAGTGGGGCTGCCTCAGGACAGTTAGGGCCAATTGAGGCCAATTGCGGGGAACCTCGAGGGGCTAGTATAAGTACGTGGGGAAGTAGCGGACTGCATGAGAAAGCCAGAGATGTAGAAACCAAGCCCTAATGTGAAGGAGAACTGCGGCGATCTCTAGGCTCTTAGCCCTAGAAACTGTATATTCAGGTAGGAGCCCTCGATTTTTTGCACGAAATCTGCAACCTCGGGGCAGTAATTAAGCCCTATATGCCCTGAATTATTATTGAAGTTCTTCGTCTCGTGCCTTTGCTGGGTAGGCCTCGTTGTACTTGCCCAGGTAGTAGTAAGCCTGGGTAGTCAGCGGGTCTAGGGTTTGTAGGGACACTGGCATACCGCAAGCACATGATCTGTAAACATGCGCGTGCCTGTTACATGTACTTGTATGTACGTACATGTCTCAAGGTAAACCCTACACCCTAAAGCATATGGATGCACATGTGTATAGGCAGATTGAAGATCAGTCAACATCTTAGCATGAAACATCCGCCCCAAGGTGAGACTGAGCACAAACGGCACCACACTTTGAGCTTGTTGAAGTCCCAAAGTCCTATGAGGTATAGCCTACAGCCCTAGTATTCCCCTTTTTAGACCCTATAATACTCCCCTATAAAATCCCCATTAATCCCCTACATAACCCCCTTTGAGAAGTTGAGACTAGGGCTCCCATGACCCTAAGGAGCCTAGCAAAGACACCAAGGAACGATTGTCAAACCACCAAAAAGTTGGCTTCTGTCATGCTACGTGCAGGGCTGAGCGCCCTACATGTTAGAGGCCCTAAACCCTATACCCTAAACCGCTGAATGACAGGAGCCCCAAAGCGACAAATATTTTCTACCAGCCTACCATATGGTTTCTTCCAGTCAGGCCAGGAGAGTACCCAAGAACTTCGCGCAAGTGCATGTTGAAACGGGCTGACTCAGCAACGCGAGGCTTCTAGAAATAGATGGAATATGTAAAAAAAAAAAACACGGTGGATGCTACAAATCCTGAATGGCACTTAGACATTTGATACCATGGTATAATTAGTAAGGTCATGCAGGATTTTGGGCTATCAACAGACATCAAGAGCAGAATATTGCTCATCTAATTCCTGGATATGGACCCCAAACCCTAAGTGTTTAGGGTTTTGGGTTCCTACAGCCTCGACTGCAAGGTTTTTTTTTCAGACCCCACCCCGCACACCCTCAAGCCTTAACGTCACTTTGCTAGGAGTGGCCTACCCCATTAAACCCTAAGCTAAACCCTAAACCCTTAACCCTAAATTGTAAGCCCTAATCCCTAAACCCTAACCCTAAATGATATGGTAGCTTCCAGTTTCTTTTCCGTTAAACTAAACCCCCGAGACACTTTGGGCTTTGGGCAAGCTACCTTACCCTTGACAGCTTCCCACTCTGCGGGCTCGTAGATCTTCGGGGCACCTAGCGAATTCCACAGCTCTCTCTCAGGTTCAGGGGTTTAAGGTTTAAGGTTTGAGGTCTAGGGTAGAGGGTGTAGGGGCTAAGTAGCTGTGGGGCTTTAAGTTTACGACTTGAAGTTTGGGGTCTAAGGTCTAGGGTTTAGGGTTCAGCTGCGAGGCTTGGGTCTTCAAGTTTAAGTTTAGGGCTCAACGCTTGAGGTCTAGGATACAGGGTTTAGGCGCTAAGGTTGAGGGTTTAGGGCTTCAAGGCGTAAGGTTGAGGGATCAGGGCCTAGACTCACGAGTTGGGCTACAGTCAGCATTTCTCAGAAAATCAGTGGATATGAAATCCGCATTAGGAAGAATTCTTTAGGGGTTATCGTCCCCATTAAGTAGGTAGAATATGGGGTATGTGGGGATCTTACTATAATATACCCAAGACCATATTCTATCTACTTAAGGGGGACTATATACTAAGCTGAAAGAAGGCCCTTATGTCCACCTTTCATGGTCCCTTGGTGACCCTACTATTCACAGTAGCTCACCCCTAAACCCAACCCCAAAGTAACCTAAACCTTAAACCCCAAACGGCTCATGTGGGGTTCAAGGTCGAAGGATTGGAGTGTAGGGCTCAAACACTGAATTAAGAGCTGTCGTGACTTCGGAGACTATAGATCTGAAGAAAATCCACAGACTGGGTTTCGTGCTATAGTATATGCTTATGGTATAGAAGTTATACGTGGTAAGGGGATAGTTACAAGCTCTTCCTGCCTCTACATACTTTCTCAGCTCCTCATTTCGTTGCTTGCTAAGGACCACCCTGGAAATCATTGGACTACTCAACTACTGCTGCAAACAGTAGCATAGTCATCCTGACTTGGCTTGCTACAATAAATACTGCCGTCCTATACAGGCCCCACGATTCATGATGGCATTATGCGAGGATTCTGGAGGCCGCCCTAGTCTTTTAAGGAGTATTCGGAGAAAATCCCATATGGCCGCAGCTACCAAACATCTTCTAAACTTCCTTGGTCCAACAAGTCTTGACTTGGGAAGTTCCCCTTTGCAGCAACAGTTACCACAAGGGGAAATAGGAGTCATAATAGCCCCTAAAGCCCTAAACCCAAAACCCTCAAATAAGAACCCTTTAAGGACAGATACTACAAGGTGGCAGAATGGCCCAAGTCTTCACGCGGAAAACAACGAGCTATGCACCGACAAAATGGGTGGTTTGGGTTTTAGGGTTTAGGGTTTCGAGTTTTTGTTTTAGGCAACAAAGCGGCTCGAAACCTACTATAGCGAGCTACATGAAATTAGAATTAAACGCCAGGAATACACAATAATCCCACGCATTTGTAGGTCTAGTCCAGCTGTGCAAGCCCTGCCGCAAACCCTAAATCCTAAAACCCTCCCGTACCACTATTCCATGCAGCTTCTAGCCAGTCACATGGACGCACTTACGGCTTGGAGCCTTGGGTTTTCGTGCAGATCCAAAGGCCTGTGGGTTTAGGGTTGAAGATCAGCTTAGGGTTAGGGACCAACACCCTTACACCCTACCTCTTTTTAATCGTATGGCTTTAGACAAATGGCAACTGGGGTTATGTAGGGGTTCTTAAAAGGTTCAAAACCGTAGAACGACAACCACCATATGACTATCATATGGCTATCATATGGCTCCTATGAGGTCCTTACTCTAGAGCTTCGGGTTATCAAAACCTTCTTTCATATGAACCCTCAACCCCTAGACCATGAACCCTGTCGATTCCCCAGCGAGGGTTGAGGGTTTAGGGCTGACTTAGCCCCGAAAGCCGCACCAGGCCTTTCTCCTCACCCGTCTCATCATCATACTCAATCTCCCGCAGGAAGTCGGCGAACCACTCCTGAGCGATAGCTTACAAGGATGGGTTATCAGGACCCACATCAGGAGAGGAGATTGGAACCATAGTCTAAACTTCTAGTATCCCCCTCAAAAAACTCTTATAGTAGTCCCATGTATATACATCTATATACATATGTATATGTAGAGCCCCTTCAAGAAGTTTAGACTGCAGCTCATTTGGCTTAAGGGTTTCGGGCTTAGCGCAGTCCATCCTGGTAGGTAAGGTAAAAACTTAGGTCCTAACCAGAAGGGAGTAGCCATTAGGGCACTTTCGAGCATGAAGCTCCTCGGTGTTTGCCCTGAAATACCCAAAAACATAGGCATGCTAAAAAGGGCCCATAATTTCGGGAAGGCTCCGCAACTCTCCAAGAAGCTCCTGCGCTCCATATACGTGCAGCGCGAGCCCTCAACAGGTCTCTATGCTAAACCCCTCACACCAAACGAATACCCCAGCATGTGCCACAAAGCTCTCGTGATATCCCCCGGGTCCTCAAGGTATCGGTGTTTTGAGAAATCCCCATAAATCCTGAACCCTGCGAAGCCTTCCCAGCTCTCTGACTTCCAAACCCTAAAATGTTGGGTTTATATTGGGGTTATGTTGGGATAATGGAAAAGAAAATGGAAACTACTATAATGGAGAATCAAATGGAAAAGAAAATGGAAAATGAAATGGAAGCTGGGAGAACATACAGAAGGCAAAGTGTCTGTGCTCTTGTTCTCTGCAGCCAGCTGCTCGCCAAAGTGGATGGGCATGAACCTGTACTTGGAGGGGCGGGGGACTTAGTAAGTACGTCAACAGTGGAGATAGCTTGGGTCGTTTTGTGGCTGTTCGGGGTCAACCTACTTACTAGGTCCCCCTGACCCTAGTTGGGGGTCTAGGGTTTAAAGTTTAGGCAATTGCATTCTTTTTCTGCTGCAGAGTGTTGGGCCGGTTAGGGTTAGGCTAAATGCCGTAGAACTTACATGAGGGCTTGGGGCCCATGTTAGTATTAATATGAAATCATCAGAAGGAGCCCTGGGTAACCTCTTTTTGAATCTCCTCCCCCAAGATCGAACATGCAACCCAATACAGTTGGCCGTCTCTAGCAACATTCAATGCTGGGGGCTGGGGGCCGTGGGGTACAGGGGGAAGCGACTAGCCAGTAGCTCAAATTCGGACAGCCATTCGGAGGACATCGGATTAGCAACCTTGTGAGATAAAACGAGTGACTGATTACCCTTGCCCAAGAAAAGGTGGAACCTTAGAAGGAGCCTCCGACGACTTCTGCTCACCTTTAGGGAGACTACATTTGATCCCCCTAAACCCTAAACCCTAAACCCTGAACCCTAAACCCTAAACCCTAAACGTCAGGAAACTAGGAAGCATTTGAACCCAAGCTTGGAGAACTCTTCGGAGGGAAGCCTACCAGACCAGACGAGCTATAGTCTAAACTCCTTAAACGGGCTTATATGGGTGGTTATCAAAATTATGGTCCCTTTTTGGGTACCCTAAATATTAGGTGCCGTATTATAATAGGGATCCAGAAAGGGACCATGATTTTGACTACCACCCATATAAGGGATTGCATAGGGGGCTACCATTAGGGGTTATTAAGGGGGAAACTAGGAGTTTAGACAATAGCTCAGATAGTGATTGGCTTCTTGACCCAAAGACAAGTCAATCGAACGCATGTCTGCAAGAGCTGGCAGCCACAAACAGAAAACGCGGAGACTGCACATGACCCTACACCCTAGTCCTTAAAACCCCGAAACTTCTAAAACCTAAGCCCCTAAACGCGGAACTTGCAAACCCAAATGGCACCCTCAACCCCAGATGGCAAACCCTGCGGGGAGTGCTGGTAAGCCCTGGGAAGTTGGCTGCGCATGAGCTACAGTCAATATTTCCCAAATAATGAATGGCATGGGTCCTGATTAGAGCCTATTTTAGGGACTATGCTAAACTATAAGAGCGACCCCTATGTCCACTGTTAAGGATCCAAGAATAGGCCTAAACCCTGAAGCCATATGGGCCCCTGTCAAGGGAAATAAGACTAACATCAATTGACCGTAGCTCACATGGGTCCTGAGGTTGGCATTGGACGCTCAAGGTTTTAGGGCTCAGGGTTTCGGTTTAAGGTTTGGGGGTTTAGGGTTTAAGGTTGGGAAGGCACCATTCTGGATGATTGTTCCATGTTGGCTTCTAGATTGAGGTTCCCTATTTATAAGCTACCATATGCGAATATGCGACGTGGCTGAACCACTAGAACTTGGCTACTGCCCCACCCTCTGCAATTCATCTATGGGACCCTTATTCAAGGTGTAAGAAATACTGTAGTCTTGCTACCAATATGATTGGGGGACCGCTATAGCGTGAAGGGGGAGCATCCAAGTTAGAATGTCAATCTTTCCTGTCCGGGCACTGTGAACAAGAATTGAATATGATGTCTTGCCAGGTGGTATGAGGGAAGAATCTTGCATCTTTATCATGCTTCTACATTACTTACTGGTTCTTAGTGGGAATAAGGGAATAAAATCCCATGTAATCCCTATAAAATGCTATACATTACTTACTGGTTCTTAGTGGGAACAAGGGAATAAAATCCCCATGTAATCCCTATATAATATGTTCCTGTATTACCTATATACTTAGAACCAGTAAGATCAGTTCGCTGCAAGTCTCAAGAGTCCAGGTACCTGTGTGTTAGATACTTGGGGCTAAAAGAGCTTCCTCTGTAGGCACTTTGAGGCCTCTGTGCATACTATACCTGAGTCAACCTTCCAGCATACTCATGCCAACTCGGAGCATTTCCAAACCTAAGCCGAGAACTATACACGCGACCACGTCCAAAACCTCAAGTCCTGCCAGGGCCCTGCAACTACCGTTTATTGGGGTTCGTGCAGGTCTTGTTGGTGGGTTGTTGAAGAGGGTAATCCAGACCCGTGATTTATAAACCCCATCCCCTTATGAGGACTTATCACAGGGATCCTACTTTACATGCCCTTAAAGAGAGCGCTGTTTATCCCTAAACCCTAAACCCTGAACCCTAAACCCTACATTACTTGGGGGGACTATGTGGACGAAATATTTCACATCAAGCTGCTCAGCCAGAGTCTTCCTCGCATGGGTGGATGCGGGTATCGAGATCACGTATGGCCATTTTGGGGATCAGGGTTAGGGTTTAGGGCTTAGGGTTCAGGGTTTAGGGCTTAGGGTTTATGGCCATTTTGGGGATCAAATCCTAAGGGTCCAAGGACCCAAATAATGGGGCTTTAGTGCCCAAATATAATGTTAATGGCATTTGGGCCCTAAAGCCCTATTATTTGGGTCCTTAGACCCTTAGGGAAATTTCTCTAGCCCCGGTATGGAACTGTTTTGAAATTGCGCAGGGTGTTGTTGGGAACAAGTCACTACTTTGAACAAAATTGGCTGTGTCGCGTGATCAAAGGCTTTTTTGCGGGTGGCCTCAGAATTCTGCGGGTCCTGCTACCTTCATGATGATAATGGGATGCCAATCCATAGCCCCAAAAGCCCAAACCCCCAGAACGCCCGAAATACTCCCAGCACTCTAAACCCTAAGCCCCAGTCAAACATTGGGGAATTGCCAGCCAGCTGTGGGCACAATGGGAAGACTAGGAGTCACCTACCCTCGCAGAAGCTGACATGGAAACCCAACACAAAACTTATGAGGACCCCTAAACCCCTAAATCCTAAACCACCCTGAACCCTAAACTACCCCTAAACCCTAAACTACCCCTAAACCACCCTAAACCATAAATCCCTTAAAACCCTTGTCCGTTAAAAAGGGTGATCTTTCGGCTCCCATGTTGGTCTGGGGGAGTGTATAGGGTTTAGGGTTAGGTAGGTTGAAACTCCTAGCTTCCCCCTTAGTAACCTCTATAATACTCCCCTATATCAGCTCCTCTAAGGAGTTTAGACTATAGCTCATGTTAGTTTGGCGGAGGGAAGTTGTAGGAAACGGAGCCGGGACCCGTTCAATTTGGCAGGGAGCTCTAGAAACCCGCTGTAGGGACCCGCAGCATATGGAACTTAGGACAACAACCACATGCTGCATGGGTTCTCCACCAGGTTCTTGTCCACATCTCGGCACAGCTTGTCCGCGAACACGCGCTGGCCTCGGAAGCTGCAATTCATGATCAAAGGGGCTTAGGACTTGATAAGGCCCTTGCATGAAGCCACTTCAATGTAAAACATGCTACAGTTTCCTTATAATGGTACCTTAGGCTAAGTTCCAAAAAGGCAAAAACCACATAAACCCTAAGCCCTGACACAAAGCACAAGCACCCACTCATCACTCGAGGATACATCATGCCTTAGCAGGACCCCCCCACCCTGTAATAGTGGTATAATACCCTAAACCCTAAACCCTAATATGATCCTTATTATCCCTTATAGTCACTATTACTGGGTAGGGGGTCCACCTAAATCATGCCCTAAGCTCCTAGCCCTACAGCAAGTGTAGGAGCACCCACGTATTGCCTGCATTCTTCTTTTCGAGAGCTTCGGGTTGAATGTAGGGTTTAGGGTTTAGGGAGGTTTTCAGGCTTGCTTAGAACAATTTCCATTCCCAGTTTAAGGCCATTTGAGTTCTACTCCCTATGTAAACCACCATTTAGGTTGAGGTCGGGTGAGGTCGCTAAGCCTAAACCCTAAATCCTACACCCAAAACTTTAACCTTAACCCTAAACCCTATCTAAATTGCCGAGTTTAGGGTTCAGGGTTGAAGGTTTTGCAGACCCTTTCAAACCAACAGATCTGGGAGTGTACTTTAGGGTTTAGGTCTAGAGCCTGTGTATTTCAGAGGGCTGAGAAGGTGGGGTAAAGGACGGTGGGGTATGGACCCAATATAGCAGAGTATATACCCTAAACCCTAAGCCGTATAACCCACCTACCTGCTTCCCATCTCTTCAGCCCCCAGTGTTTTTCGGTTGTATCACGAAACGCCAGCGCTTGGCTAGAGGAGGGTTTAGGGTTTAGGCTTAGGGTTTAGGGTTGATGGTGATTATGAGAGATTAGAAAAGGTGACCCGGTCATAACTTGGCTGTTTCCCGCTCTTTAAATCCTAAATTCTTAACCCTACATGGTAGCTTCCCAAAATAAGGAGAGCCCAATCTAGACCCCCAAAATACTATAATCTTCTTTATGGGGACCCTCCAAAATTGCACCCCTAATTTTGGGAAACCCCTACAAAATCCACGTTTGAACTTCCTGGCTTGGGGTGTTCCTAAAGTTCAGGGTTTAGGGTGCAGGTAGTGTTGGTTTGCTCGTTGAAGAAAAGTCCAGTAGCATGGGGATGGAAAAGAGTCCTCAGTTCAAAGCACCCTTCGTATCTGCAACAAGCTTGGAAAACATATTCCGTAACCTAAGATAGGCTGGCAACCGTGGGCGTCAGGCGACATGGAATCCTTGGAGGGTCGCAGGCACCTCGTACATAGGTTAATAGTAGGGATGCCTGGGCTTCCTGTATGGCTTATGGGGCTTTGTCCCCCTGACCCTCCAAATAACACCCTAAACCCTATTCCCTAGGCCACGCGGACAGGAAGGCTGTCGTATTAACTACCCTTAAAATCCGTGACCTCTAGAGTCCTAAAACCTCTTGAACCCCAAATACCCTCAAACCCCCTGCCTCGAACCTCATAAACCCCAAATGCCATCAAGTTCCCACCCTGAAAAGCTATCAAAACCTAGACCCTCCTCCTACCCTCTATTAGGGGAAAAGTGCCCACTATTAGGGACCATATATCCCCAATTAAGGGTACAAGGAAGGTCCTGGAAGAAATCTTCCCAAAAAGCACGTCCCAGCGACACTCGTGCTTCCAGAGTCCTACGAGGATGGTAGGAGACGTGACGATGTTCACCGGGCACTCCATCACGCCCTGTCAGTTTAAGGTTTAGGATTTAGGGTTTAGGACTTAGGGTTTAGGGCTGAGGGTTTAGGATTTAGGGCTTAGGGTTTAGGGAATGTTCTAAGGAGGAGTGGAAGGGATAATGGAAGCTCCTGCATGATTTGGGGGCTTCCCAAAATTAGGTGTACCTTTTTGAGGTCCCCATAATAAGGGTTATAGTATTTTGAAATCTTTTTGGGGTCCCCTTATTCTGGGAAACTGCCATTTAGGGTAGCATTTAGGGAGTATAGGGCTTGTGGTTTACGATGTGAAGGGAGTTTAGGTCCTTAGAAGCACGACATCTTGTCTCCTGGTGTCCTGACGTTGAGAGACCTTCATACTTGAACAGTCAGGGGGGGGCCAAGTAATCAGGTTGATAACGGATAACTGGGTTTATCATATGACTTATCGGGGCTGTCAACCTGCTGACTAAGTCTCCCTGACCCTAGACTCTCAACCCCAAGCCCTAAACCCTAAATAATATGTACCTGGACCCTCCTCCTACCCTCTATTAGGGCCTAAGTACCCACTATTAGGGACCATATATCCCCAATTAAGGGTACAAGGAAAGTCCTAGAAATAGTTTCCATTTTCTTTTCCAATCCTCCAAGTATGTGGTCAAAGGCCAGGTGCAGCTCCTGACTGTAAACGTCATGCTAAGGGCTCAACCAAACCCTAAACCTTGGGTACTGCCCCCACTCAGTATCGGTCTATATTAGGGGTCCTATTAAGGTCTATATATAACCCTATTGTAATTATTATCCAACTGTTACTGAGGGGGGGCAGTACTGAACCTAAACCCTAAACCCTCAAATTTAGGGGAAAGCACTTCGGGTCAGGTAAGCGGGTAAGCATTTCGGTATGAAGGTGCCCTCCCTTAACGCTAAACCCTGCTAGGATCTAGAGCTTAGGGCCTGCCAGACCGATAGTCCCCCTTAAGTAGATAGAATATGGCTTTGGGTATATTATAATAAGATCCGCATATACCGCATATTCTATCTAATTACTTAAGGGGGACTATAAACCCTAAACCCTGTGTCTAACTCCCACTGCAAAGCATGCGGGCCGTGGCATCTCCCTTTCATTCACGTCCTTTGTTACAGGGTGGTTGTCAAGTGAGGAGCCCATTTTCTCAGGGCTTAGGGCTATAGGGGATAGGAGAACTTCAGGTGTAGCTTCGTCTTCCGGATTTTGAGCTTCAAGCTTGGGATTTTTCAGCTGGAATGTGTCAAAGTCAAAGTGTGGTCAAGATTGCTTGTTGGAAGCTTACGCTAGGAAGAGTTCAGGCATGTGCTGGCTTGTTCTTCCCTAGGGCTCCAGTTACCTAAATAATGGGAACTGGGTTCTGTATTCCCTATAGTTACATAGCCCAGTAACGTACTATTTAGGTAACTGGGAGCCCTAGGGCTTGGCAGCAAATGAAACAATTTCTGATGTCTGTCTGATTCCTGTTCTCAGTTACGTATCCCGTTCACTTTGTCTTCAGATGTGTTGAGTCTGTATCTGTATCTTTCTCAAAGCAGCGGCAGCCAAAAGTTGGAAATTCAAGGTAATGATAATAATACTAACTATAGCAAGATAATAAGAATTATCGCAATAAGAACAACAATACAAACTAATCTAAGCCCTAAACCCTAAACTCTAAACCCTAAAACAAGTATTAAAACGACAAAGCTTAACAGAGAAAAGATGTGTGGAAAGAGCGCCCGCAGCCGAGCAGTGTCAACTAAAATACTGCAACTGAGATGAGCCACGGTCAACAGGGTTTGGCTTAGGGTTTAGGGTTTAGGGTTTAGGGTTCGCATGTAACTACTGGACATCGGTTGGTGCTTATTCGGAAATGTATTTTGGCTGGACTAAACGACCAGAAGGACCCCGACACCCACCCTTAAGGGCGCCTTGGAAAGCCTAATTTCTACAGATCTGAGGGTTCTTTTGGGTCATCTAGGGCTTATGCATTCTACAAATTGGGGCCCCTTTTCAAGGAGCATATCGGCTTTTGGAATCTACATCTGGGACCCCTAAGTCTGGAAACTCCAATGTCTTTTGTATACCAGACCCGGAACAAGACCTGTGATCAATTTTGATGCTCACCCTGACACGACACGAGCTATAGTCTGAACTCCCGGCATTCCCCTAGTAACCCTTATAATACTCCCCATTTAATCCCCTACATAACCCCCTTTGAGGATCTTAGACTATAGCACACCTGTCTTCAGAAGGTCGCGTCACTATCAGGCGAATTTCGTTGTTTTGCAGGGGCCTATTGTACACGGTTATGGTGAAACATACACCAGGAATCCTATTACAAGGCCCGCGAATGGCAGGCCATCAAAATCACCACTGTACAGCCCTTTGATCCTAATGCCCAGGTATCGTTAGGGCACCCCTGCTTTGAGACACCCTTACATTGCTGTAGGTTGCACTTCTTATCACCGCAATGAGGTTTCGGGCAGTTTGGGGGTTTAGGATGAGGGGTGTGGGGCGTAGCACGGTTTAGTGTTTAAGACCTAAGCACTACCCCCAGTCTCCACAAAACTATGGACAGCCTGGAACACACGGCTGAGATCGCGCATGTTGAAAATGTAGTGGAAACCTTGGCGTTGAAGTTGACATGTTTGGCTGCAGGGTAGGGAGCTGTCCTTCTACAAGGGCTGCAAAATATACGGCTTTACATTTTTTCTTATCTGAAAGGCCACCGTTCAAGCTTCTTTGGGGGCCCAGGTAAGATTAATGTCCAAGCACCTGCCTGCCAACACTGTCGCTGTTGATACAGGAAATCTTGCGCCACTTGGGGTCTCAAAAGCATGGCGTTCCGCTGATTGGAGAAACTCATGGTCGACACTCTTCAACCAACATCTGTCGAGCATCTGAAGCTCCTCGCCTGGATTCTTGCATTAAGGTTTAGTGCTTAGGGTGCAACATCTAGCAATAATGAAGAATCAAATGGAAACGAACTGGATAAACTGGAAACTGAAGAAATGTTGATGCCTGAACAATTGCGAAATGTGCCATCATCTGCGGTTCTATTTGAAACACCCGACACCATTATGGTGCAAGGAATGTCAGGCCATCTAACGACAAATATTGGTAGTTTATTCAGGCTGTTATAAAATGCTGAACGGTGTCTCGCCTACCGACGCTGTTGGTCCAGTGTTGATTTTCTGTCTGCGCGGCATAGCAAAGCCAGTCCGCCGTCTCGCATACAGAGAGCTGGCATTTATGTTGTGCGGGAAAGCACCGTCGAACGTGGCTTGGCGAAAGGCATCGAATGATCACATCATCAACAAACTTTGAAACCTCCTCACATGAGATAGCTGTTCTGGTTTAATTTGTGTTTATTGCACAACGTGGGTTTCTAAGGGTAGCGAGACTTCGCTGAGATGGATTTTCAACACCAGGGCGCGATTACAGTCCGGGTTTTCAAATAAAATGTCAAATCGGGCTTGAAAATTATGCCGCGATGTGTGCCCATGATCACTGCTGGTCATGCATCCTTTCAACGCGCCTACCCAGAAACTACGGGCAATAGCTCGCAGCGAACAGCGCTCACGTTAAGAGGTCCCATCTTTTGCAAAGTTACATTTTTCGATATTGCTGTTAGGTTCCTTTTTCCTTATTGGTATTGGTTGAAATACGATTACCCCGTCTACTCCCCATGAGACAACAATCCCCCTTGTAAGGATGCAGGAGCAAATCCATGAGGTTCAAAAAAAAAGCCCAATCCCAATCTTCATTCCACAAGTCCCGAATCCTGAAACCCCAACAGGTAATAATGTAAGAAACGTCTATTCCAATCATTTGCGTTCTTGTGGCAAATGCCCGCCGAAACCTGGTAATAGTCTTTGTATACCCACCTAAGACCAAAGGCGAGAAACGCAAAGGCGTAGGCAGAAGCTTTGATTTCACGCGGTCCCACACCTCGGTAGGCGAGATTGAATATCGAATGCCTCTCAATTTGGTAACCAGGATCTTGGAGGTTTGTGGTTCCAGGCCTTTAAATCAGAACTAAACAATTGGGGAAAAATATTTTTCCCCCATTGTTTAATCCCTAGAGCATTGGAAAATTTATTGTCAAAAGGGGGTTTAGGGTTTTCTTTAAATGGGGGAAAAACATTTTTTGCAAGCACAACGCCAATGTCAGACATGACTGGAGTGCTATTCCCAGCAGAGGCGGCGGACGCACGGCGAACGGAATAACTGACAACATGCTTATAGTTTCAATCTCTGAAAGCATCCACAACCAATATACTGTCCAAAACTGTACACAGGGGTGCTCACTCATCTATGCATGCAACTGGAAACTGCTCACAGCCTCGTTTGTGGAGGGGCCTCAAATGCGGTCAGTACAAATACTTTCTACATTGAAGCAACATGCGAAAATGTCTGCTAGCGCTTACAAAGCTGGAGAATTTTTTGATCCAAGGTTGTAACAATGTAACCTCTTTCCACACAAGTGTGCCACTTTCAGTGACAAACTAAACATACCTAAAAGTACTTGAAGCCCAGAAACAAGCACCAACGCAGGCATGCAAGGGGCATGGCAACGGGAGATGAACATTGGTTTGCGTAGACAACAAGCACAGCTACTGCCCGAATCCTAGCCAGCCATGTCCTAAACCAGCACGCCCTTCACCCTGGAGCTAATATGCGCAGCTGTGCATATGCTGAATGCTTATCAAGGTTAAGCATTGCCTGCCACAGTAAATCAACATATCGATAGCTGTGACTCGTCAAAGAACTGCCGGAAGGGCCTGCGTACAGCATATCTTGTTTCTCCACAGCTATTGCTGCGGACAGGAGATGGATAGAACGCCTCATGCAAGACTTCCTCTCTCCAACGCTGCCAACGCCGCACAACATGATCACTGCAAACAACTGGAATGACAGTTCTCGTGTGAAAATGATGGACAAAAGGTGACAACCATGGCCGTGATACAAGCATTTGTGCCCCAACGCATTCAGTGAACATACTGCATTGCGTCACTGGTCCTGATGTCAGTTTCCCATGTGTCGGTGATTGGCCCCGGCAGGGACGGGGTGCACCCATCACCACCCTCCCCTCGCCACCCTCACCGCCCCACCACTCTGCCCCTGCCACTGCCTAAACCCCAAATCGACCTGATTTGCTTTTGGGGCTTCAGGAATTAAAATAGTTTGGAAATCTTGGTGGTGCAAGATTTCCTGCATCACTGACCATTAAAGCAAATTATAAAGCTTAAACCAAAACCCTTACCCCGTCAACCCGAGACCCCAAAACCCAACGTCCGTCAAGAAAAAAATCCGAAAACCAGCTCCAGACTGTGAAGTTAAAAAACCAGCCTAGAACCTGCGACCCCAAATCCTGCGAATGAGACCCTGAACCCTACATCCCCTAAAAGCCCAGACTCTATAAACCCTGAAGCCCTCAACACGAGCGAAATCAACACTCTAAGGTCCTTTCCGCTGGAAATTGGGGGCCAGGGGTCGCGGGGTGGGGTTGGTAGGCGGTAGTGGTGGCGGTGGCGGCAGTGGTGGTGCTGCAAGCAGCTGTGGCTGGTGGCAGTGACTTGCGGTGGCTTGTGCTAGTGGCGGTGGAGAGCAGAATCGTTGAGACCGATTGCGGTATGGGGATATCTTAGAAGGCCCCGAATATTGACCAAAAGAAACAAGAGCCCGCGTTAGTGACTACCAAACAAGGCCACTAATCTCCGGAAACCGCCTCATTAGCTAAAGTTAACATTTCGCACATAATTCGTGGACATGGGCACCTGCATTATATTAGGAAAAATACTAAACGATCAAAGGGGTCACCCATAGTGGTTGGTAACCCTATTGTTGACCCTAGCCCAACACTTAACCCTACACCCAAAATAATGTATAGCAGTTTCCAGTCTATTTTCCATTACCCCTATAGAGCCCTTTCTGGAAAGCCCAAGAACTCTGAATATGTGCGGCTCTGAAAAGCATCACTGCATGATTGGTGCAGGCAGCTCACAAGACGCCTTGTTTAGGGCATAGGGCTTCAGTCAGAAAATCTAGAACTGTAGATGGTTGTCGAAATTATGGTCCATTTTTTCGGTACCGCAGGCATTAGAGATATTATAGGACCCAAACAGATCAGCGCTAATGGACATGCAAAATGAGGCAAACTGCACTATGAAGAATGGCACGGAAGACCATTCTGCATCGTTCCTGCGGCCCTATCTGAACATGAACCTCACCGTGGTTGCTGCCTCCACCCTGGAATAATCCATATTAGGGGTCATCTTAAAGGCTATAGGGTTTAGGGTTTAGTTTAGTAGGTATTCTCCAACTAATACAGCGTGGGGGCAGTGCCCCAACCATACCTGGAATCTTGATACCTTTCTGACTACCTCATAACAGCATTACCACAAAGCACCGGGATAGTTTGCGGGCGTTCAAGCCTTCGACCACAGAGGAGAATAGAGAAGCCGCGCTGCGAACCCTAAACCAAAAGCCGCCACTTCTTCAAAAACTTCCGCGGGGGTTCAAAACTTGGCGCAATACATGTCAAGACGGAACTGGGACAAACTTTCGAACAATCTCCCTACCCTATGGCGTTTGCAATGTTGAATCCGCATTCAAGCAGGGTAGCCGAACAAGTTTTTAGCATTCCAAGCTCTTGCAGTACTCCCTGTTTGCTTTGGGAGCCCAAACCTTCCTCCTCTTGTTAAAACTAACCTGAACCGAACTAGTGGCTTCCATTTTCTTTGTAATTCCGCTATGTTATCCGCATAACCCCTTTTAAAGGGGTCAAATATTTATATAGTCCCTATAAATAGAGCCCACCACTTGTAATAGGAACCAAGGAATTCCCGCGCGCACCCCGCAGCAACTTGCCTGGATGCTCTTTAGGGTCTAGGGTATATAGACTCTCTTCCCCAGTAACCAGGGCTAAAAAACCTTAAGCTTTATTATAGAGACCCAAAAAGGAATCCCAAAAAGCGTAAAGTTCTTCTATTGGCTAAGTAAGTAGAGCTTAGGTTCTAGAGGGTCTCGATTTGTGTTAGGGGCCACCATCAGGGTAATCCCATGGCACCTCAGCTCAAGTATTGCCATCGCCCCTAAACCCTGAACCCTAAAACCTTAACCTTGGGTACTGCCCCCACCCAGTGACAGTCTATACTAGTGGTCGTATTAAGGGCTATGTATAACTAGATTGTAGATATTATCCAACTGTTACTGAGTGGCGGCAGTACCCAACCTTAACCCCAAACGCTACACCCTAACTCGTAGTTTCCATTTTCTTTTCCATTATCCCTATACAACCCCTATATAACCCCAAAATACTATCACCCTTCGCCATCCGAGCCTAATTTGTCCCTGAAGTCAGAAACTTAGAGGCTGCACGAGGTTCAGGAAACCCTGAACCCCCAACAGCCTGAACCTTAAACCCTGAAGCCCTACATCCTAAGTCCCAAGCCCTAGTCCTACACCTAAGTAAATCTTATCCCTGTCCATCCTCCTTGTTGCCGCATTGAGAGGGTCTGGGAGGAGATCTTTCGAGAGAGCAACAACAACTCAGGCATATCTAGGCCAGGCAATTAGCCCCTCGTAGGCCCCGGTTTTGTCCTTGACCAGCCAGATCCGCGTTTGGATTCTAGGAGTAGCGCAACTACAGGAAGGGAGTTCAACAACTCTCCCCATTCAATTGCCCTTATTCGCGCAGATTTAAGAGGGACCCGCGGGTAGGACAGACCCAATAAAACTTTAGGGTTTGGGGTTTGGGGTTTCAATGAGAGGGACATTCAGAAGGTACTTGGAAAGGAGCCTCGAGTTACTTCGAGAGCCTGTGCTATCTGGGCGTCCCTTGGGGATCTACATCCTCTTAATCACCATACATCAATGGGGGTCCAACAGGGGTTTAAACTGATCAATTATGGTTTAGGGCTTATGGTTTACAGACCTCCTGACCGTATTGCGATCCCCGTACCCAAATGCACATAACAAACCCCCAAAATGGCAAGTACAAAGGAGCCCATGGGCAGACTTCAAAAGCTGATTCAACCCTGAACCCTGAACGCTAAACCCTAATTAAACCCTAAACCCTGAACGGTCAACCCTAAGCCCTAAGCCCTGAACCCTTAAACCCAAACCCTAAACCTCAAACCCTAACCCTGAACCCTAAACCCCTAAACCCTAAACCCTAAACCCTAAACCGCGATCAACCAATAGGCTTCGCTACCTGTCTACGGTTCAAGCCATGGACCCCTGATGCGGGCTCTAAATCACCCTGAACCCTCGTCCCATGACTCAGGATTGCACGTCCACTGTAGCAGCTGTCAGCTTCTTGCTCATGTCGATAACATCCGCTTTAGCTCCGGCCTGACACAGGGTTGAGTAGTTTTGGTGGTTGAACCTAGTAATATAGGGATAATGGAAAAGAAACTGGAAACTAGTATATTATAGTAGGGTATATATTGGGGTTATATTGGGGTTATATTAGGTAATGGTAATAATTCCAGCACCTGACTTTCGGGTTCAGGGCTTAGGTTTTGGGGTGGTAGGGTTTGGGGGTTTAGGGTTTAGGTTTTGGGATTTTGGGATTGGGTTTGGGGGTTCAGGGTTTAGGTTTGGGGGTTTAGGGTTTAGGTTTGGGGGTTTAGGGTGTGTTTAAAGCTTTTTTCCTGAAAAGGTGGGCCCCAGGCCCCTCTTGAAAACAGGGATTACAGGAGGATTATCGGGTCGTTCTAAAGGATTATAGGAGGATTGTTTCGAGCAACTCCCACACAACCTAGGATTTAGCAGCTAAGGTTTCGGGCTAAGGGGTATTTCGGAGTTTGGGGGGCCAAGGTTACATGTCGGGATTGTTGTTCAAGGTTCAGGCGTCTGAGGGGCTTCCGGAGCTTCGGCTCAGGAATGGGGGACCCTAAACCCTAAACCTGGACTATA